GAGCTTCTAGTGAATGCACTCCAAGAACCAAGTTTGAGCATCCCCGTCGCCAGCATTCGTGAAAGACGTCCGTGGGCAATTCGAACGCGTAGCAGCCTTTTCGAGTTTTCGAATTTCTAATCAAAACGAAAGCAATACTTCAGTTCTTTTCACTATTATCGTGGATAATGAGTCTCAAGCCAGTGATTTATGGCTGAAATAGAATCATGATTTTTCCGCGCAAGATTCCTTTAAGATGCTCCGTCTATAATCTCAGCAATGTGGAATAACATATCTTCTTCCAGGACCTGGACGACTGGATTTTTGACAAACCTACAATAAATTTTACATACATTTTGTCTTAATTTACATAAGTTTACTATTTGATGGGTGGCTTACCCATGGTTCGCACGTCCCGAGACCCCTTCCCCTAAATATAGCCACATCCTTGCTCGGGGTTGTTGTTTCGCATTTTTCGATAATGTCACCTACAGCTTCCATTCATTCTTTGCACCCTAGTTTTAGAGCGGAAAGGCGGGCTACGAACTTGTCGTCAACGGAAATCTCTTTTTTCGGATGATGAGACACGGACACCTACTTTAGCCCGTCTTTAACTGCTTGTTTCGCATAGCCTACCATTTAAAACCTACCTGAGATGGCGGAGTTTGCGGCACATTGTGTGGCGCAGCGAAAAAATACACTGGCCCTCCGTTAATGGTTAAGGTCATCTAGGTAATCATATCCTTCTATACGAACGCTTTTTATTCTGGTTCAAATTTGATTGTACGATGTCTTGACTAACTTAGTCTTCCGTAGTCGAAGAGCATGGTGACATCTTTTCTATACAGGCTCCTTCAGTTTTAACCGAATTCGTCATGACAAATTCAATCTGGGCGCGGACCGCAGCAGAGATTTCTAGAACGTGTTGCTAACTACAGTTTACTGTCACGTCGATCATTTGTTTTGAAGCGTTGGGGCAGCGAGACTGGCCGGCTGCCACTCTTTGTGAAGCTGCTTTATCTTTGCGGCCGTGGCGGACGTTTGCGTGCCGATTGGTTGATGGGATAGTCTTGACATACACAATGAAGCGTCACACATCGAACTGGCGTGACGTGACGGCTTACTTGGGCACTTCGGCCGCCTTTGCGATTGTTTTATTAATTCATGCGTCCGAGTGCGATCGTGTTGACGGCTCCTCGCTAGGCCCGCACTGTTTCCACAACAGTGCGACGGACGAAAAGTATTAAATGCTGTCTAACGGAGCCTTCTTGCTTTACCTGCTTTAGAACAACGACTTAAACACCAGCAGATATGATTTTCAGAGCTCCGTGATTGCAGCAGCGCTAGGGGAAGCTGCGTACTGCCGCTCGAAGAAGGAATTGGAATGTTATAAGAGTGAACCATCTACCAGCTTTATCCCATATTTCATTCAAAAAAATCTAAAGTCGATGAAGATTGCAAGGCCCCAACGGAGGCCACGCCGATCTCGCGAAGTCAAAAACTGGAAAATGCGCTGATTCTTTGGGGCCCAGAAAGGGCTCACTGAATTAATTTTAGATAGGCTATTCGAAACGAAAGCCGGCTGCAAGAGGAATGTGGAGCGAAATGAAAGCGTTTCTCTTGAGGTAAAGCTTTTAGGTAAAGCAATTGAAAAAACACAAAGGATAAAGCGTTCGGCGTTGATCAATGCTAGTTTTGGTATGCGCCACGCACTCCTTTTATTCAAATTTGGCAGTGGCATATGATCGATTTTGCGTCTATATCACAATGCACTTGGTGGCCCTGTAATGTCAATAAAGGAAAAAGTAGTGTTTTTTATCGTCCAGCGGACAATGTCTTGGTAGCAATTAATCAGACCCGGAGGATGGTCTGCTTGGTGTGGGTTGGGTGTACTGTCGTGAGGCAGGTTCCATTACTCTACACCACCCATGATTAGAATTATTAAGTCTGTAAGTTAGAAGCTTAAAAAAAATCTTCCTGGCGCGATGAGTATGTACTCCAGGCACAAGACTTTTCCAATTCGAGGACAGTATTGAAATGAACTAGGAAACACCAAAATAGATCCGTAAATTACATATTTCGCATCGTACAAATGTGTGCCATAATTGGCCTTCGCCACATTAATTTTACTTTTTTGAATGAAGGTACCAGGAATTTTTGAAAATTTTCTGTTCAAACTTTTCTTCTGTATAAGCTGTATTCTGTTGTATCCGGAATAACGCAAGTGCGCGTGCATCCAATAAATAAATAAATAAATAAATAAATAAATAAATAAATAAATAAATAAATAAATAAAATGTTCAGTTGTATAGTAGATCAGCATAACAACTGTGCTTTACAAACTGCATCTAATTGCTCAAAAACAAGTTATTACATTTTTTCGATCGTTGTTGAACAATGAGGGCGGGTACTGTTACCCGAAATTACCGCCTTGCGTTGACCTCGAAAAAGAGGGGAAAGCGCTCTACGAGAGAGGCCTGGCTTAGAAAAGCTAGTATAACTTGTTGAGAATTAGGTGTGAATAAAAAAGAACTACTCTGACAACACAGCACTAACTTGTTCGCCGTCGTACAGTTTCATGAGAAACTGCGAAAGACTACTCAAAGGACATACAAATTTACATATTTTTCCCGTCAAGCAATTATAGAAAAGACGGTATTTCTTCGTATTTAAAGACGGGCTAAAGAGAGCTGTGACCATTTCACAACACTAAATTATTTCTGATGTGTCGTGATCACTTTTGCTGTTGAGAGAAAACCTTGTGACAGAAGTTCCATTGGAAATTACTCATGCGTGGCAATGAGAGATCTTGATCTTGCCCATAGATATGAAGAAGAGTTTATATTTTCGCGAGCCAAGTCCTTCACAGCGAGCTAGATTTTATCTACGAAAAAGGCCATCGGCTGCAGGCATATCGGCTCTTACTTCCTGTACCCGATGATGATTGCGCCGTAGCATGGATAGGAGCCACATGCGTGCATATGCGGGAGGTTCAGATAAGCCAAGAGCCTTCCATGATTACCGTCTAACAATAGGTGTCGTCGTGGGTTTCGCCATGGTGATGTGAACGATACAGCTGGAGGCAGGGGAGAAATTGAAAGGGAGAGGAAAATACTATGACTAATAAAAACAAAGGTTCAAAGCAGTGCTGAGGTACGCGTTTTCAAAGTAACCATAATTGATTTAATAGGAGCCTTTATCATAAGAAGACATTTTTTTATCTCTCCCTACTCATTGATAAAATGTGTTGACTTCACAAAGTAAGCACAGCGGAGGCGTTGAACCTTCCCAGAAAAGGAGAGCTCGGCAGTTGCGGGAGGCCAAAACCAAAACTGGTGTAGTTATGAAGTAGAAAAGCGCTGTGGTAGTAGTCCGGGCTCAAAGTGGAGTTGCTGGAACCAAATTCCTCATAATGGTCCTCTGCAGTCCCGCAAGCAACATACACGCAGGTGGGTGAAATGAAATCGCCTTAGGAAATTACTAGTAGCGTGAGTTTTGGTCAACAAAGAAATGTTAAAAGGTGGTAAAAGAAAAGGATAAGGAAAACAATGAATGCATTCATAAAGCAGGTGTGATACCAATTAAGTAAAGTTGATGTAAGCCACTTATAAAATAGGAATGTTCTGAAGGGAATATCGGTTCCGTTACTAGGGTGTCATAGAGAACTCAATAAGGCAGCATGTACTTTTCAGTAATTTACTTGGGCAAATATAAGTAAGGTGCGGCGCGTAGGCAGGTGTTGAGGACAGGTAGGCAGGGAAAAATGTTATTATGGTCTTGCTAATATAATTTGCCACATTCTAGCGGAATTAGGCAATGAAGAAAAGTACTTCATAACTGTTTTGGAGTTTGAGTTAATCGCAAATCAAAAACATCTGCGTCAGCGTAGCCATTGACAATGTCATGCGTGTGGTGAGGTGGCATTAGATTCTACTGTTATTAAAGACAACCAGAACTGATTTAGGAGCCACTGCCTCGAAATAAGGGGACTGAAACTCGTCAAGTTCGCCCCCCCCCCAGATTCCACGTTGCTGAGCTTCATGGTAAACCTTGCACACAACACAGCTACGGCGAAGGCCGGGGAGAGCCAAGACTGAGGGTGCCAAACTTCTTAAAAATAGGTGAGGAGGCAAATTCTGAATGAACTGCGAAGGCAGAATCAAGGGTTCAATGGAGCCAAAAGTATCGTTCTGCTAGAGCTCTGTGGCTGAGAAATGAGGTTCTCATAAAAGGTCGTTAGGCGATGTAAGGTCGGAGCGTCGAGATGCTAATGACGAGATAATTCGCGCCAACCGCAATGTGTGATTACCGCCGTAGCGGCGCATTCATGCACACGCGGGTTAGTGGAGCCATGGAGTAAGAGTATTCAGACACCTTATGTCCGTCGCACCTCTCTCAAGTCAAAGAAGGAGAGAAAGAGTTCTTATGTATGGGCTTCGTCAGTGGTTCGCTTTGCTTCTTTTTGCCTGACACCCACAATTTCATCATTAACCTAGTCACAACCGCGCGGGATTGCGTCAATTAAACTGAGAAGCTTCTGAGTTTTTGAGTCACGAGATTTTTCTTCAATAAAATTTGAGTGGATGGGGATTTCCCCTGCCCAGGGCTGGCTCAGATGAATGAGGGTGAGGATTCTCGCAGGATAGAAAACGTCCGAAATTTAATATGAAATACGGCAGCCACCGGTGGATACACTGTCCCGAGTGAGGTCTTTGGCAGCCACTGGTGGCTGCCATTGTCACGAATGGGTTAACCGCTGCTACCCCACCAAATTTGGTATGGCGTTGTTAGTTTGAGTAACTGTACAAGTCAAAGGGTAAATGAGCTAATAATGGAGTGCGTACCCTTTGTACATTGAACGTTTTCGGCCCACCAGCTGCTCAAAGATGGCGATTGCTCATGATCAACGATTAATGACGTGTTGTAGTCCGTACAGTCATGGTTAAGTATTACTCATTGTTTATTCATTGCGAATGGTTTGAAAATTCCAATTATTGCCAGAGAGAGAAAGTCAATCTCAGAGACAAACAGTTCCCTGTTTGTATGCCACGGCGCGAGTACATAAGCTAAGAAACGCCATAGAATCTCCCGGTCATGTTTGTCTTCGTTTTTCTCGTCTCTCTGGCCCTCGCCATCGCTCAGCAATGTAAGTTCATTCAATTGTTTCAGTGTGAAAGAGTAGTGGATAAGCGGAGTAAATAATAACACATTGGTTCCCTGCGAGTAGGGACGCGTTAATGAACCCTTACCGTAAGTCGGACATTGGGTCCCGCCTGATGTATCACTTCTTCAACTAAAGGACCGTCAATGTATCATGTTTTTAGATATGAATGGATTACTGAAAAAGTGTGTTGCATGCCCTTGTAAGGAATGCTATCCATTCTACCTCAGGATCCCTCTATAGGCCCCAATCTCGGTGGAAGGGAGGCAAACGAGTTTCCAATGAAGACCAAATTGGTCCAAGTGGAGATTTACATGGAAAAACCTCGATGACTGAGCGAAAGTTGCATGTGTTGCTTGCCTTAAAGGCACAACCCAGGCAGAGGTCGTGTGAACGCTTCCCTTCGGTCTGTAGTATAGACCCCTAGAGGACAATCACAAATGTGGCGTTCCCGTGCAAGAGCGCTTGGGCCTTGCAAAGTAAGCTGCTGAAGCTGCAGATTTTTTCTCTTATCAGGCTGTTGTCTGGCGCTCTCTCATCTCGCCTCATACTCTCCTCTCCGCGCTTAGTCTCTCATTCCCTTAGCACAGCCGATAAGGTGAGTGAGCCCTCAACCTAAGCGTTTTGACGGATTTTTTCCTTTTCGTGTCGGTCCGCACCCTCAGATGATGCGCCTGTCTTTCTACTAGGTAAGTTTCCCTTTCCTCGACTTTCGACCTTATCGTGGAATCCTTCAATCGAATGTGTTATTGCTGATGTTGGAAAACGAAGAACCAAAGTTCAAGCATATGCACAATTAGAACAGAATTGCGGTGTTGAATTCAGCACTGAACCCTTGCTTGATAAAAATTAAAAACACAAAAATGGCCTCTTCTGGAGTTTTCTACGCTATCAGAACTTTCCCATCTGCGCTTTCAGCGTCAGCTCACACCGACATTTCCTTCATCGACCTTTGGAAATAGCAAATTTGTAGCTCAACTGGAAAACTTTTAGTTATAGCTTCTTTTGATAAACATTCCGAATAATTCACACTGCTTTTCTTCTTTCGCGCTCTGTATTTATAGAAGAGAGATTTGTGTGTTGTCAGTTTTCCTGGCACATGGAGCAAATATTGCCGAAGATCAATGTTCAGCGAGTTCGCACACGATCAGCATTTGGTCTTCACCAGGGATCGAAGTCATTCAAAGCTGTCGAGAGTACGCGATGATTCTAACGCAGACCGATCAGCGCTCATTACTGTACCACTTACAATACATTCCATTTCTTACCCATCTGTTTGTCCTTTGTGTTCTGGCTACGGTGGCAAGAACGTACAGGCGAAGAACGTTTTGTCGGATTTTATGTTGTATGGACAGACGGAACTAATCTTCCGGTCTGGGCCATAAAGTCTTATTACAGTTTTCAGAGCTAGTCGAAAAGCCATAGTTAAGGCACACCCAGGCAGAGGTGCCGTTGTGACACTCTCTTTCCTTCGGTCTCGCGTGTAGACCCTACGAAGGACAATCACGAATGTGGCGTCCGTGCAAGGGAAACACGACCAGTAGCGCTTGGCAGGCCGTCGCAAAGAAAGCTGCTAAGCTGGAGATTTGCCTCATCTCAGGTGTTGCTTTGGCACTATCTCATTGTAGCCTCGCTCGTCCCATAACTCTCCTCTCCTCGCTTAGTTCTCTCAATCATTGCCAGTCGATGGTAGGCCCAAGTGAGCTTTGGACTAAAGCGTTTTCGATAGTTTTGTCCTTTTCTTTATGGTCGGCCCATTTCGCACCCACATTCGCATTCGTGTGCAGAGACATGACCAATGTGAATTCTAGGACATGGATTTAATTAAGTCTACGAGAGATAGCAGAAACGTTTTGAAACATCGGCTGAACCCCCTGTAGGCTTGAGTTGGATTTTGGACTTGCATCACTTATCATCTACTCCATGTCGAGGTATGACTGTAGGGGCTCTGCACGATTGCAACCAGGTACATGGGTAGTAGCCAATAAATGTCACTTGACCCAGTTTACGATGTAGACGAAGAGCCAAATTGATGGCAATGTAAAGACCGTCAAATTTTTGATGACCGGCATCGCACTGCAACCTTTTTGTCCAGTACTGTCACAAATTTCCCTGTCTATTCCTTTCCACATCAACCCTCTCCCATCAGAAGCGAGATGACGAACCCCTGTTGAGAATTCCTTCAACCGTTTGTTTGGGCCCGCTCACTCGGTCAGGGGTAGAAAAATCGAAAAGACCTACGAGATCGTACTTGCGAGAATCAGGAAGGAAATATATAGAAGAAAACTTAATTAGCAATTTTAGTTGCAGACGGCCAGTATAACAATGGTCAATACGTCCAGTCTACACAATATGGCACTATCTATTCCTCAGGACAGGGCTCCCAACCATCTGGAACACAATACGGAAGCAGTACCATGAATCCGAACACCCAGAATCTGCAGTACGATCAGTCATCGAACACTTACAACAATCAACAGTCATACCCAAGTAATCAAAACTCGGCCAGTGGAGTACAGTATGATCCGAACATGGCTTACAGTAATCAGCAGAACCAAGCCGGATACAACCCTCAAACGCAGCAAGCGCAGTATTCCAATAACGGACAAGGACAGGCTTATCCTTACAACCAACAAAATCAGCCAGGATACAACACCCAAATGGACCAAAGCCAGAACTTCAACAACGGCCAACCACAAATGTACTCGAACGATCAGCAGCAGATTTACGGTCAGCCCAGTATGATGCGTGGGTGTGGGGGGGAAACGCTGTTCAGACTCAATAGGACAGCCAGTGCGAAATCAGCAAGTACACAATGGGCAAACCAAGCGGTCCGTCATTCTATTTCGGCAGGGGGGTCGGTTGGGATCTACGAAATTCTCCTTTCAAACCAACATCTCCAGAATGACACTTACTGCGTAGCGTTGTTCTTCTCTGAAATAACCCAAGTTCAAAATAGCGGACGACTCCGGTTCTCAAACGGAACTGCAATTTAGCAGCGTAAATTAGGAGCTGGAGATTTTTTCCTACAGCATGCGGTGTAGATCTTATTCATCTTGTCCGTGTGGCAAGTCGAGCATTTTCATTACGTTCCTCCATGAGAATGCTTAGGTTCTGGCCCCTTCTGCAGAGTCTCTCCTTTCTGTAAAGAAGATGGCCTAATGTGACGGGAAAATGACCACACGGCAAGTCTACCCACAGGATATGGCCACACCGTAAACAATCAAGTAAAGCAGTCAGCTTTGACGCGCACTACATGAAGGCCAAAATTAGAATCAATGTAAGTTTAGTTATCGATTCGTTACCTACTAGAGCGCTACTAAGGTTGCCTTGGTAGCGCAGAGTTATAGCGCATTAGCCGGCAAGCGGGGGAGGATCTAGCTCGAGTCCCGCTAGGGTGGACTTTCTGTTCAAACCCACTTATTTTAGTGAATCTATGATGAGTATTTCGATTCAACGAACTTCCTATGAAAGCACCAGTGGACGGGACCCAGAGAGGGGCTGTGCCCAGGTTTTCAACCGGGCTTATAATTAGTGGAGGGGAATTAAAATTATCGCAATCCTCACCTGAACTTGAAGAAACAACATGTGATTGGTTAGATGTGGTTTCTGCACTCGAAATGAAAGTGGAACTGCGAAGAGGACCAGATGTAAAACGCGTGGCGCGTCCCCCAAAGGGATTAATCAGCACCGAATGCTTCGAGTTTTTTCAATCAGTTGCACTCTGGTCCAGGGTTTACAGCGGCAAGCATTTCATTTCAGCATCGCCACCCTTCAGCGTCGGGCTCGATTCCCTTTGCGAAGCTAATTGGATGCCCATGTACAAAAAGCGGTTGTCATGAGTGCCGGAAAGAGTCTAATCGCGGGTCGCTTTTTATTACCTCCTGCTCCCCCCCCAACACCATGCATGACTTCAACACCATCTCGTTGAAAACTGCCATCGTACTAAATATTTATGCACCAAGGAGTGGACCTATATAAGATAATTATTTCAGATGGGTGATTGGGTAAGCGACCTTTTCAAAACGTTCTCATTCGCACAAGGAGAAAACAGAAACATCCAGTTTCCATCTCTACCAACTCCACCACAGGTAAGAATGCTTTTTGTATTTTTCTTCAGGCTACAGAAGTCATGCGAAGAAGAAGGCGTCGGAACAATTTTGAATGGTTTAGGTACCATGCTTGTGCAGCCCTCAAAATTGCGACACCTCACAACAAAGTCCAGCTTTTTGAGTCTTTTAGCACCAGTACCAATCATTTTTTACCCAATTTAGTACACGCTAGATCCAGATGGCTCCGCTTACAACAATTCGCACTACCGTTAAATGCAGAATTCTTTATTTGTTACCTATGTGTATAGGGAATGGTGCCGCTAGTACCAGAGTTCACCCACAATTACAACGACGCAGAAAATAAATCTATTTTTGGAAAAAACAATACAAAATATGTTTGTTGATAACGAGCTCTCACAGTCACTAGATCAATCACTGAAGCGTCACTGAGTACAGCCTTTCTTCCGATTGAATCTAGGCTGCAACTGTGTTTTTACTCAGGCGGAAAGGTAAGGTAGCGTGAATAGTTTTCGCGGTAGGCCCTGTATCACGATTTCGCATTTTTATCTAGGCATTTGACGTTTCGGCCTCTTCGCGCTTTCGTCAGAGCCTGAACAAGGGTGTAAAAAGAAATGGGAGACGATCCTCAGGCAGCTTACATCTGAAGACAATTTTCTTCCAGAACTGCTAAACCAACAGGCGGTATCGATGGAACCAAGAGGGCTACAAGGCTTACCTAGATCTTTGCCGCCAAGGCGCAAGATCGACCACCCAAGAAGCAGACTTTTGCGTGGAATGAGCGAACCTATCTCTCCTCCCTGACCTCACCGAAACTCAAAACCTACAGAGGTCGAGGAAGGGCGCCAGGTCACGGGTTACGGCTACACATTCTTCTTTCCTCTTGATTTAGGGGTCCCTAGCAGCAATGGTAGGTGATTGGTAGTCAGGGGTGGAGAAGAGTAGGGTCAGAAGTACGTATCTGTTGAGGCAATTTAAAGGACGAATTCACGCTGGGAAGGCAACCCATTTCAAATTAACTCAGGGATGGTGATTGGTACACGAAAGAAGGAAGAACCATGAGAAACGGCCCAGAACCCGAGAAATGGGACCCCTTCCTTCCCCGCTGATTTGCGCATTGATGCGACTCTTATCGCTGTGCCCTCCTCAACATCACGCTCTCTCTGCTATCTAATCAATCCCACGTATAGATCTGCGGCGAGTGATCAGCTGGTCGGTGGGCGGAGATCGCCAGACCCGCCAACTTTGAGGCATAATAGGTCGCCGAGGTCAAATTTTTCGATGCGAATTGCGCATCAGTTCGCACCCTCAGGAGGTCCATGGGTTACTCAACTAGGTGAATTACTTCTTCCTCGACCTCCATTCTAATCGTAAAATCCTCCTTTAAAGCGACACTTCTGAGGGTACCCAAATGATGAACTTGGATTACTTGCTCACCCACACTTTAATAGCCTGGTCTTTGTGTGTCTTTTCTTGGCACCCATTCACCTGAACCCTCAGCTTGGAAAATTGCCTAAAGAGGATGCCTTTTTTGTTACTGAGTGATAGAGCCTCTCACCATATCATCAGAGAATGATAGAATGGTGTCATCTGTTACGCCTCTTGGGACAAGTAACTTCTCATTCGACATCGCTTCAACGTATCACATGCAGCTAGGTATAGGATCCTTGTTTCAGCACTATTATACATCCAATATTAATGCAGCTCTGCGCATCGTTAGAAAGAGCCTTTGTCTTAAATCAGTGGTAGCAAGCGTTTCATCAAGAAACATGAGACTTATGGAGACAAACATAGGTTGATCAGAAGGATATAGCAATAGTAGCGCAGGTCGATGAGGGGATCTTCCCTGTAGAATGATGTAAAGCTGCTTATGGCGCTGATAATGAATTCGTATTAATAGTTTCAAATAGTCGCCCTGTTGCCCTGATCCCAAGAGCCCACCGCGCGGCGAAGCAAGAGACGCAGATGCGGCAAAGAGACGAGTTGCAGCGCGTGCTGTGCGATATGAGACGTAGTATGGTACACTCTTTAACCTGACGCCTAACCGCTACAGTATGCGCTGCGACTCGTCCCTTTGCCCGCCGCGTCTCGCGTCTCTTTGTGTTCGCCAGACGCGCAATAGCCTGGTTGGGGACACCACAATACGCCCTTTCGATCGAAACGACTCGCTCTTTTTGAGAAAACCTTAATTGCTCGCATAACTACGCAACCCTTCGACTATTATCTGACGAAGTCCTGATTGGACATGAAACTCAAGATAGCAACAGAAATTAAAATAGATTACAGTGACACAGCATGATTGACGCGAATGATTTACCCTAACCGGAATAGAACCAAGCCTCCAATATTTCGTACCAAGAAACAATCGTGCTGTTTTCCACGGGATTTCCTTGACATTACGAGAAAGGTCGACGGTGAAGTACGAGCCGAATTCTGACGATAAAGTGGCGGGGGATTTTTCAGCGGAAGTTTTTTTTTTCCGAACATGACCCTGGTAGCTGACAGGTTGCATGTACAGTTCTGTCACACAGGCATCTGAGGAGCAATTACAGGATCCGCAGAGGATAGAACATTGAAAAAGCACGATAATTCATCCTGATTAGGATTATTAGTAAGAGCAGCTGGTCGTGGCGTAAAGAAAGAGAATAGCGGTGAGACTTCCGCCACTGCCCTCGGGACGTAGTAAACTGCTCATCAAGCAGTCGGCAGGCAGGTATGTTTGGCTGTGTAAAACTGAGCAAAATTCGGCGGGCATTGCGGATGCCTCCTCCCAGCCTCTGCTTCATAATACTGCTGCTCTTCGCTCCTTGAGATCTTCCTTTATCGCCTCTCTGCATAGCTTCGCAAGCTCGGACGTGAGTTGGTGATTGCCTGCAGCTCGTGCGGCTCCACGTTGGCGTATCAGTCGAGAGTTTCCGGAGACAGACGTCCCTTGGTGACTTTCAAACTCTGCTCGCCTTGATGTACTGTGCTCCGCTTCATGAACTCTGCCTCTCTCTCTATAGTGAAATTTTGCAACGCAGAAAGCAAGTTAGTACATCGTGTCAGGACTTCGCAACAATAGCGATGTCAGTCGGGTAAGTATGATGCGATTCGAGAACTGTGAAAGTTGTTTACGTAATGACTGATTCTGGGGCTGCGAAAACGTTCATGATTTCAATGCAGTCATTCCTTTAGCATGTATTGTGGGGGTAGTCAAAGTTGATAAACAGGTGATTAGGTGGTTGGATGGGTGGTTTACTTTTCGAGAACATACAGCCACGTCGGCCGGTCTATGGAGCTGTGTTCTATGTAAGTTCCAATTTCGCGTCCTGATCAGCGTAAAGCGCAGTTAGAGCAATGCTCATGTTGATCTTTACGCAGGTACATATGTGATAATCTAAGTCGAGGCGAATCATGGATAGCTAGCCCGTAATACAAGCCGATTTTACAGCCCATGATCGACTGGGACCGCTACCGTAATTCTGGCGTGACACCTGCGAGCTGCCGCAGCGGGAGGCAAACCTCACCGGGCGTAAACTTCTTTGCGCGCCTGTTCGATGGCCATATCCCACGGATACAGCACAAGCACGCTCCGCCAACCAGCAGATTCCGTATACGGGCCATTTGTCACGTGGACGGAAAAAAGAAAAAGGGCACGCGATATCAAAACAATGAACACGAGGCATCGCGCGCAACCAGTCAACGGAGTTACGGATTATGGCCGGTTCACTCATGAATGATCTCATAATAGCCACTGACAAGCACAAATAACACTTGTGAATATAAATCCTTCTATTTTATTATAAAGCGCTAACTTTGTGTGTCGGTTTGTATGTCTGTATGTGTGTATGTATGTATGTATGTATGTATGTATGTATGTATGTATGTATGTGTGTCCGTCCGCAAAATGAAGTGGTAGGGAAACTCGTGAAGTAAACAGACCGTTAACAAAATCGAGTAACTATGACTTTAGCAATCAATGTTTTGCAGTGCTATCAATGTGATAACACCCCAACGGCTATATAAACACCTACTGAGCATGGTCTCATTCATTCCACATGATGCTGCAATAGCAGCTGGAGAGCAGTAGAGGGAATAGGATAAGATGGAGAAGGGCGAGGGGAGCTAACCGCCAAAAGACCTGAGGTCCAATTAATATCATTCTAAGGTCATGTCACGATTACGGTAATGCCTTCTACTATATAAGACACTTTTTTGTGCATGCGTGCCACCTCCACGAGGTGTCCATGTCACCAGTGGATGGGAGCACATTGGAAGGAGTAAAGCTTACGCAGGTAAGGAGGTCCCGGTGGTTGCCGGGGGACCAATCTGGTAATGAAAAAGGAACAGAGAACAGGGACAAGAAACTGTCAGCCGGATGGGCGGGTGAAATTTCACAAGAACATAAGGGAATAGAATTATTAGTGGAGCATTGATAAAGTCACAAAGATTCAATCCGAGGGAAGAAATGCTTGGGAGACAGTCAAGAGTCCCCCGCGACCGCCGCAAAACTGGTCACCCGCGCGACGTCGCACGGCGTTATTGCACGTTGGAAAAATCAGCAATCATATACGAATTCGCGGACCGTCTACCAGTACGATTCGAGACAACGTCTCCCTAGACGTCCGATTTCTGCGTAAGCGCCGATCACCGCATTTTGTTTCAGTTTGTTGTTAGTCCTGACAGCTTGATACGTTTCAAGCTGCAAGGACCTGGATACGGTAGATGGCCGCCGCGTGCGGTGACCTACTTTCGCTTGCGCGGCGACCTCAGGGGGACTCTTGTCTCGCATCCGAAATGCTTGACGGAAGTAAAAACTAGGCAAATTCTGTGTGAGTTTGAAAAGAGCAAAAACCGTCAAGCAGCTTCAAGTTGGTGATGGCGCATTAGTGATAAAGAAAGGGGTAACGTTTCGATCTACGGCGAATTGCCAGAAGCGGAGCAACCAAATCAATACGTTATCCTCATCTGTGCCTTAATCGCCGTAATCGACTGATTTGAATAACGTCCCTTTTTTTCATCGTCTAATCGATTCAATCGCATTACAACATGCCACTCTGACGTTCCTAAGGCTGGACCGTTAAAGTGCGCATTAAATTCAGGGAGGGGGGG